TAGGGATGGGTTATATAACTAATATCAGTGTGTGTTAGGGATGGGTTATATAATTAATATCAGTGTGTGTGATAGGGATGAGTTATATAACTAATATCAGTGTGTGTTAGGGATAGGTTATATAACTAATATCAGTGTATGTTAGGGATGGGTTATATAACTAATATCAGTGTGTGTGTTAGGGATGGGTTATATAACTAATATCAGTGTGTGTGTTAGTGATGGGTTATATAACTAATAGCAGTGTGTGTTAGGGATGGGTTATATAACTAATAGCAGTGTGTGTTAGTGATGGGTTATATAACTAATAGCAGTGTGTGTTAGGGATGGGTTATATAATTAATATCAGTGTGTGTGATAGGGATGAGTTATATAACTGATATCAGTGTGTGTTAGGGATAGGTTATATAACTAATATCAGTGTGTTATAGGGATGGGGTATATAACTAATATCAGTGTGTGTTAGTGATGGGTTATATAACTAATATCAGTGTGTGTTAGGGATAGGTTATATAACTAATATCAGTGTGTGTTAGGGATGGGTTATATAACTAATATGAGTGTGTGATAGGGATAGGGTATAAAGCTAATATCAGTGTGTGATAGGGATGGGTTATAAAGCTAATATCAGTGTGTGATAGGGATGGGGTATAAAGCTAATATCAGTGTGTGTTAGGGATGGGTTATATAACTAATATCAGTGTATGTTAGGGATGGGGTATAAAGCTAATATCAGTGTGTGTGATAGGGATGGGGTATATAACTAATATGAGTGTGTGTTAGGAATAGGGTATAAAGCTAATATCAGTGTGTGATAGGGATGGGGTATATAACTAATATCAGTGTGTGTTAGGGATGGGGTATAAAGCTAATATCAGTGTGTGATAGGGATGGGGTATAAAGCTAATATCAGTGTGTGATAGGGATGAGGTATAAAGCTAATATCAGTGTGTGATAGGGATGGGGTATAAAGCTAATATCAGTGTGTGATAGGGATGGGGTATAAAGCTAATATCAGTGTGTGATAGGGATGGGGTATAAAGCTAATAATCACGAGATCACCACCAGTTCATCCTTTCTGTGCTTTAAAATTTCACAGAAGTTCATACGTTTTTCGTAGCTTAACTTTTAAAACTGTTTAGAACAGCGTACAGTTGCAATTTTATACTAACCCTAACCTAGTTACCAAAACCCAAATTTTTATTATAAAATTAAAAACATTGTGATTTTATGGTTTTTACATCTTTCTTTTTTGACATTGAAAAATACCCTGTAGATTTTGATTCATTATTCAGCTTTTTCGTTTCTGTTATTCTCTAGGGATAATTCATCAGAAACCAATAATAACGAATCCATGTTAGCCTCAATCACGAACCATTCGTTATGGTGTTCACAAGTAAGTCATCATGTTCAGTTAGATGTACTTTACTCGGAAACTATTGGAACTACAGGTATCAAGGTTTACAGGATTGTGGGAGCTAGAATCAGGTACGTTTTGAATAAATTAAAGTTGTTTCACCTGTACCAAAACTTTGTCTAAAAATTGGTTAAAAACATCTGTGAAATAATTCATTTTCTTTGGAAAATACATACTAAACTCAGTGGGATTAATTGTAATGTTTAAGTTTAATTTATGTTTATATATATATATATTTTTGGGGCTCGTTTGTTATTAGGTACCCTTTAATCAAGAAAGTTGCCTAAAATGAATTTGTTATGTCAGTAGTTTAGTAAAATGTATATGAAAGCCTATTAGTTTATATGGAACCAACTTGTAATTCTAGGGTTAACTCCTGGTCGCACATGGCTTCATTTTTATTCCATACATACTGTGAGTTGCTTCACCCACTGTAGGAACAGGAAGACGAGCTTGATGGTTCACTAGTTCTTCTGAATGATAGTAAAATTAATTCATAATTAAAAATAAGTTAACATTGTTAAAATAAAAGTAAATAGATAATGTTGTACTATTATTCCTTACCTGAACAAATGAAATATAATTGATAGTAATTACAATTCACGTGCTTAATGTGATTCACACCCTTATAGTTGTGCATGAAAATTGATGACCACTACTCTGTCTGTATCCCTGCTGGCCTAATGAATCCTGGTATTAAGCCAAAGACCTTGTTGGTAGTGAATATGGCAGATGTAGTGTAGGTTGACACATTTACGAGTTTTTAGAAAACATGAAAGGTGTTTTTTGAACAATAAAGTACAGTGAGATGGATGAATGTATTTTGTATTGGATGGCTTCTTGAGAATTACTTACAATATATTGTCAGTCAAAATTGGTTTTTGATCAAGGTCAGTCTCCCCCTCTCTGTGTGATTTATGTAAACTTGATAAGTTTCTTCAAAATACTGCATCCAAGTTATAAATAAAAGTTATTTTACTTACTTCATGTTACAACATTATTTGACTTACTTCATGTTACAACATGGTTACAACATTATTTTACATACTTCATGTTACAACATTATTTGACTTACTTCATGTTACAACATGGTTACAACATTATTTTACTTACTTCATGTTACAACATGGTTACAACATTATTTTACTTACTTCATGTTACAACATGGTTTCAACATTATTTGACTTACTTCATGTTACAACATGGTTACAACATTATTTTACTTACTTCATGTTACAACATTATTTGACTTACTTCATGTTACAACATGGTTACAACATTATTTTACTTACTTCATGTTATAACATTATTTGACTTATTTCATGTTACAACATGGTTACAACCTTATTTTACTTCATGTCACAACGTAGTTTCAACATTATTTAGCTATGAAAAGGAGACATGGAAGCCATCATTGTTCTCCACCGGAATTCACCGGTTCATAATGACCAGCGGAGTTACTTTTGTCAAGATAAGTGACCAGTCTCAGAAAGGTATAAAAAGGTGAGTCTAAAATCATATCGAAATCTGTTAGTTTATGTAAAGTTGTGTAACATAACTGTTGTTGGTCCGTGTACAGTTACG